TGAATGCACCTTGGACAACCATGAGGACCGTGTCTGGGCGCTGGCCGTCCACCCAGAAAAGAACACCATCGTCTCAGGCAGTGGCGATTCTACAGTCTCCTTCTGGAACGACACCAGCTCAGAAACCCAGGCGGCGGCGTCACAAGCGGCCCTTCAGCTGGTGGAGCAAGAGCAGGAACTACAAAATCACATCCGCGCTGGTTCATACCGAGAAGCTATCACGCTAGCCTTGCAACTCAACCATCCTGGCCGGCTCTTGAGCCTGTTCACCTCAGTCGTCACCAAGTCTCCACCAGATCAGGGCAGCTTAAGTGGTGTAAAGGCTGTCGACGAGGTTCTTGGAAGCCTATCAGATGAGCAAATCTTCCTGTTGCTACTAAGACTACGTGATTGGAATACCAATGCCCGTACAGCGCCGGTAGCACAAAAAATTCTTTGGACATTGGTGCGCAGCTACCCTGCTTCCAAGTTTTCTCACTTGTCAGTACGGGGCGCCAAGGGTCAGAAGAGTCTCCAAGAGGTGCTTCACGCGCTCAAGGCGTACACGGAAAGACACTACAAGCGAGTGGAGGAGTTGATGGATGAGAGTTATCTGGTTGAATATACCCTGCAAGAGATGGACAGCCTGGCCTTGACACTGCCAGATGACTCTGAAGATACATTAATGATCGAGGCTGGTGAAAGTGAGGACGCCATCATGGTTGGCTAAAATACTTGGTTTAATATTAGAATGCATATGTTTGATTCAGTTCATACTTTTATAGAGATTTTGAACAAGGCAAAGTAAGCTCTGTACAAAGAAGCATTGACAATCCATTGATCGACCTGGTTAAGACTCGCATTCTTTCATTCCATGATATGAAGGCGAAAGTGACATAAAAAATATTCATTTACCGTGATCGTATTCAATTTTATTTATTTTCAACCAGTATCAATATTTACACATTCCCTCAGGCCTCTGTGGCGGAATATTGTCATTGGTCTAACGCTGCCTCGTCCCTCACAGTGGACAGGTGCCTGGAGTTGCGCCTAAGACCCCACAATGACGCCTGTCAGCGCCGCTACAGGATCGCCAGCAATCTTTTCGACAACATCACCCAGCACAATCGCAGCCCGAGCGACGCGCCAGACGACAACCCACCGCACGTGCAAAGAAGAGCAGGCCTTGGTAATCAGAGTGCGGCAGGGCAACATGTCAAAACGACAAGCTTCAGAAGCTCTCGAGGAGCTCAGCGGCGTTGGGTCGCCCGCATCAAAGAGATCACGAATGGGCGACATGGACTCACCCTTTGAAGCTTCATTCGAGGACCAAGATCAAGCGCCCAACAACGGTGAAAAGGCGGACGACGAGGATGATGACGATGACTTCGACGATGAAGAGCCTGCTGCTCCAGTACGCCAATTAGCGCCCACGGCCGGCTACGACGACCTCTACCTCGATACCATCGATCGCAACGTCCTCGATTTCGATTTCGAGAAGCTCTGCTCCATCTCCCTAACCAACCTGAACGTCTACGCATGTCTCGTATGCGGCAAGTACTTCCAGGGCCGTGGCCCCAAGTCACACGCCTACTTCCACGCCCTCGACGAGGACCACCATGTCTACATCAATCTCGAATCGCAAAAGGTCTACGTGCTCCCTGAAGGATACGAGGTCAAGAGCCAGGCCCTGGAAGACATTAAGTATGTCTCCGATCCCAAATACACAAAGCAGGAGGCCCTGAAGCTGGATCGCGAGCCACGCAAGAGCCGGACCCTCGCCGGGAAAGAATACACGCCCGGCTTCGTGGGTATGAACAACATCAAGGAGAACGACTACTTTAACGTGATCGTCCAGGCGCTGTCCCACGTCTCCCCCTTAAGGAATTATCTACTTCTAGAGGACTTCTCGAACAAGTCAGAGCTGGTCAAGCGATGCAGCATCCTATTCCGCAAGATCTGGAACCCGCGCGCCTTCAAGTCGCACGTCTCCCCCCACGAGCTCCTCCAGGAGGTCTCCCTCCGCTCCAACAAGCGCTTCACCCTCACCGCGCAGTCGGATCCCGTCGACTTCCTCTCCTGGTTCCTCAACAACCTCCACCTCGGCCTCGGCGGCAGCAAGACGAAGCCCGGCAGCTCCATGATCCAGCGCACCTTCCAGGGCAGGCTCAAGGTCGAGTCCCAAGCCATCACCGCCCGCGCCGACGCCGGCGACCGCCTCCGCTTCGAGGAGGCCGCCGAGGTCAAGGTCGACGTCGTCCGCTTCCTCCTCCTCACCCTCGACCTCCCCTCGGCGCCCCTCTTCCAGGACGAGCTCGAGAAGAACATCATCCCCCAGGTGCCCCTCTCCGCCATCCTCTCCAAGTACGACGGCCGCAGCGCCCAGGAGCACCACGCCCAGCGCAAGCGCTACCGCCTCCTCCACCCTTTACCGCCCTTCCTCGTCTTCCACGTCAAGCGCTTCTCCCAGAACAAGTTCGTCTCCGAGCGCAACCCCACCATCGTCACCTTCAACGACCGCAACCTCGACGTGTCGCCCTACGTCGAGCCCAACCCCAAGGAGTGGCCGGCGGGCGAGCCCATCTGGTACGACCTCGTCGCCAACGTGGTGCACGAGGCGGTGCGCATGCGCGAGGACGTCGCCGACAGCGGCGAGGAGCGCAAGACGTGGAAGGTCCAGGTCAAGGACAAGGCCACCGGCGAGTGGGTGGTCTGCCAGGACCTCTTCGTGGACAAGGTCCAGAGCGAGCTGCTGTATCTTGGCGAGACGTACTTGCAGGTCTGGGAGCGGAGGCGGGAGCCCAAGGGCAAACCCAATGCCTAGCCAGAGTCAAACACAACAAAAGAAAGAAAAGGGAAGAAAAGAAAAGAGTATGTAGCCATAATGAATCGTTCACGAGTTGCGGGAAAGCCGTACACCGCTACAAAGCCACCTGAGGAATTTTTTATCTTCGCTTTTATTCTTTCGAATTAAGTGCACGCTGGATAGAGGCAAGATTTGTAGCCCGGCCATCTTTCGTATCATGGTTCCCCGAACCAATACCCAACGCAAAGCTACATAATACACCATCCCGTAGGCCCTCAATATAGCTGCTCAGCATTTCCACATAAATATCTCATCCGCCTTCGCAATGCTGCGATAGGTGCTATCCCATCCATAGAATCATCCAAATGAGGCAAAATAGAAAATCGTGACGAGAAGAAGGGAAGAATAAAACCAAGTGCTCAGACCAATAGTGTACAAATCACGATGGGGGGAAGTGGATGGATGATATCATGGGCGACAGAATAAAGGGGCGACATGTTCCTCCAGATCACTCTTGGTGATGCTGTCTTGATCCCATCGTAGGCTGTCGCTTCTCGTGGTGATGTTGGTTGGCCTTCTCGCGGCGCTGCTCGTCTATCGCTGTGCGTTGTTGGATGCTGGAGTCGTGCGACTTGAAATCGATGCGGGTGTTGTTAGGGAAGTTGAGGATCTTCTTCATGGTCTCACTACGGGTAGCGTATTAGCGTCAATTTGCTTTTTCGGAGGGGGCTACAAGGGACGACTTACCGAATCTTGAGCACACGACCGCCGTCAGTCTTGGTCCAGATGCTCAGGATATCCTCTCCGTTCCTAACACTTAGAACAGCGCCGCAGACCTCCTCGCCGGATTCGCCAAATTGGTCGCCAATAAGAGCCAGTAAAAGATCCTCCCAATAACGGTCAGCCACCCCCTTCTTCATGCGAACCACCCATTTGCCTCCCTTTCGATTAATCTCATCCTCCCAGATAGGCCGAATGTCCCTCTTGAAAAGGTGATAGTCGGAAACGACTGGGAGCATCGACGGTCGTTTCAGATGTGTGTAGATGTCCCAGAACTCCTCCCCTGTAGTGATCGTGGCAATTCCATGCAACGTCTGCTCGTACTCGATAAAACCGTGGGCCTTGGAGATTGGTGGCCTGTACCAGAAAGACCACGCATCCTTCAGAGGATGTGAGGTGGCGTCGCCCGATCTCTTCATCTCAGAGATCGAGGCCATGCTTGGCGCCTTAACCACAGGCTTCTGCCCTTCTTTGGGTTGAATGGACTTGGAAACGGCCGATGCCATCGCGGTATCGAAGGGATTACCGCCCATAGACTTGGGAGTCTTGGCAGAGCCGAACGAGGCGAACGCCCCAGAGCCCAGTCCAAATGCACTCGATGCCCCCGCGGTGGTCGGTGAGGACACTCCGGCCCCGGGGGTAGTACTATTGAAAGGGTTTGGTTTTACGTTCGACGGGGTGTTGCCTCCTTGGCGCCTGGCCGAGGAGGCATTTTGAGAAAAGACTTCGGGTCCGTTTGGAATGGTATTAGGGGTGGTCAGAGAAAGCTTGTTAGTACTGCGAAAGACACATGTTAGCTTCAAGTTTGCGGATAGTCTCAGAAAGGTGTCAGTTCATACTTTGCGCGACGTGCCCATATGTTCTCCATGGAGACAGATAAGAAATACTCTCGTTATAATGTACAAAGCCGGAGCCAGAAGGCGAGGAGGAGAGGGCGCTGTCGAGTCGGGGGGTTGAAGCCTAATAACACAAGAGGAGGTCTGCCAGGTACAACCAACGCACAAGGGCGGTCGTGGTGACCTAAGAAATGTACAAGCACTGCAGCGAGCCAAACTGTTCCCAACTGCTGCGCGGGGAAGGTGGTGAATCGAGGACTGGTATGGTCTTGTCTTCGGGTACTCGAGGAGTCGGTGCGGCGCGGCGGGTAGATGTGTCGAGGAGTAGCGATGCAATGGTGGGGGGGTTAGATCTGTCTATAGTTCTGCAGTCGGCGGAGGTGGCAACACGAGATGATCAGATTGTTGGGCTGGTTGGTTGAGTGTGCTTCTTGCTGGGAGAGTGTGCGGGCAGGCGAAGGTTTTGCGGTCTAGTTGGTCGGGGGCGTCGAGTTGGGGAGGAGGATGTGTGGTTGATGGTGGTAAAAATTCAGGCACGAGGTTTAGCCTGGTGGTAATAATAACAGGTAGGTTCACTCACGCAGATTGGCATGACTGACATGGAGAGTGCGTCGATGGGGCCTGCGATGGGGCCTTATGATGGGTCGCTTACCTCGACCCGACTAATGAATTCCCTGAAGAATAGTGGTGCTAGCCCTGTGAAGACTGAAGAGCCTTCTAGCCTCAACGGCCTGTTGCTCAAGTACCTGCCACTGTGGTACAGACTGACGCCTGCGCCATGTACTACTCTCGAGTCTCGAGTCTTGAGCCGAGTCTCGCCAACAGCCCTCCACCTGTGCTACCGCCGCAATATTGAATCAAACCCTGCTACTTACTACCTCGGTAAGTAGCTTTTTGAAGGCAAAGTCCCTCCATCGAAACTTAACCTTGACATGGCCATTCTATCACTTTTTTCTTGCTTTTTTTAATCACTCCCTAGCGTCCGAGGGTGGTGCAAGTGTCCTACCCGCGCTGTCGTGACGTGTGGCTGTCTCCCACCTCCAATAAGAGGTCAGGGACATGCAAGGGAGACTTGCGGCTAGTGCATCTGAATGGTCTTAGGGGACGTGTGGCATGCAGCATGCACAGCGACGAACTATTATTCGGTAATTCTCAGACATTTTTCTTTGGGTATCAGACTGGAACATCCTGTCAGGGCAGAGGTGGTAGGGGACCATCTGGATTGTAGCGCCAGCCTTCGCAAGGGCAGCACTGGTGGCGTTCGACGGCGTTCAACAGAGGGGTCTGCGTCCACTGCCGTGCCCAGTGCCGCATTTTGATACGAGTGTTAGGTAGTAGGTAGTGATTGGCCCCTTTCTTCTGCAACACCTGGTCCTCGAAGCCAACCGAATGGCTTCTTTCAAGTTCCGCATAAATTATTGGCAGCGCTTTTGACTCTCCCACTTTGACATCACGAGTACCTCAGGTATCTCAGGTACCTTCCGTGTTCCAACAGATTCTGCACCAGAAATACCATGCAATTCACCACACGACCAATTCCAAAATATAACGTTCTGTTCAAGCTTCAAAATACAATTAGGTAAATTCCTTGTCCGTAGCTATAGCCTTTTTAAGGAATATCCCCTATCGCCTGTTGCAAAGCAATAAGATCGCCAATCGCACATGCTGCACCTGTGCCTGCCACTTCAGCCCCACCGCGGAAGTCTACCGTGCTTATCGCCCCTCGATCCTCTTATCGGGGAGAAAACCTCCAAAAAATTTCCATGCTTCTAGAGGTCCATCGATCAGCTCATCACCAGCCTCTCGCGCGCGCAACGAACACCAGGCCGACCACCAAACTCCCAACCCAATTAAGTCTACGAAGTGGGACTATATCTTCAAAATGGCTCCCTCACGCACTCGTACCATGAAAAACAAGAATGCCGGGCCAAAGACATCCAGCGCCGGCGGAGACACGAAGAGATCGGCCACCAGCGGCGTCTCCAAGTCGAAGAAGGGCAAGCCGGGCCCCGTCGTCTCCCAGCAGGTCAAGGAGAAGAACCGCGCCGCGCTGCTGAAGAAGCCCAAGAAGAAGGTGTATACTGCAGAGGAGCTCAACATCCCCAAGCTCAACATGATCACGCCTGTTGGTGTGGTCAAGCCCAAGGGCAAGAAGAAGGGCAAGATCTTTGTCGACGACAAGGTAAGCTCTTCATCACGTTCAATTGTTATACAGACATCAGAACCCAGCGTGCTAATCTCTTTTCAATTGCAGGAGGGAATGAATACGATTCTGTCGCTGGTACAAGCTGAGAAGGAAGGTCAAATCGAATCCAAGATGATCAAAGCACGACAATTAGAGGAAATCCGAGAAGCGCGCAGGGTCGAGGCCGAGAAGAAGGAAGAGGAGAAGAAGACCAAGCTGGAGAACATGAAGGATTCGCTGAGGAAGAAGCGGAATCGCAAGAGCTCGGGCAAGGAGGAGGAGAGTCTGAACGAGGTCAGCTCAACGGGCACAAAGGCCACCAAGCCAAAGAAGAAGAGTGTTTCATTTGCTTAAGTTCAGTACGGCGGCGAGATCAAAGGCATTTTATAGGCGCTTGGAGTTGGTTTTTCTTTTGGCGAAAACATCTTTGTTCCTCATCAACCTCGTTGGAATCTCGGTGAAGGAAAAGAACATGGGTTGTGCGGATCGGAGCCCTGGTTTGAGATAATTCTGGCCATGTTGCGCTTCATATATGTGATTCTAACTAAAATTCATATCTATTCCGTCTCATTTCTATTCTTTACCCATATTAATCTATGATACGAGAAAATAATCATATTCCATGTCCGGTCATGAACAATTTGCGTCGCATTGGGGTGTAAGTACAGCCGCCAGCTGCCGATTTGGCGGCTTCTGGCTCCTTCGATGGCTCCAGAGTGTCAAGGTCGGTTTCGAAGGCCATGAAATTAAGCAGATTCGGGACCTGAATAGAGTCAGCATTTAGGTTGGGGAAGGATAGGTATCACTATGTTGACTTACCGCTCGTGCGTGCCATCGCGTGCCACCGGCCTCGAACCAACAAAGATGCCCCCCGAGAGAAGTGGTTGTAAGCATCGTGTTGGGATTCTGGCGAAATTCAAGGTATGGGATGGCCTCTTTCACGGCAATCTAATCCAGTCAGCCGAGCACTTCGCATCCAATAACACTTCAGGGACATACAGGGTCGTCAGTAGCATGGTATGCGAAAAATGGTATCCTAATAGCTAGGATGGCATCCGAAGATGATGCATCGCGGTAGTACGCATCCTCGGTAGGGTATCCCCAGGTTGCGCACCTTAAGAAGTCTTAGCATTGTATCTCGGTATCATTGGAAGGGGGAGTTATACTGAATTTGACGATCAAATTCGTGCAAGTAGGTGATATTCTCAATGGCCTTCACGTCCAGATCGGTGTATTCTGTCACTTCTTTCTTATGATTCTCAATAAGTTGTTTCATGGTAGCTGGATATCCAACAATTAGCACGGCTTATACCCGAAGTTTTAGAAAATTATCCAACTTACAACCCATGTATCGCAGATACAGTTCTTTTCCAATATACGTGCTTTGGAGGAACTTGTTCGAGACCTCCAGGTTCCAAGGATTTGAGCACACAACGGCAGCCTTGAGAAGACACCCCGCGCCCTCCTCACCGCAGTACTAGAATAAATGTCAGCAGCTCGATCAAACACGTAAGGGCCATCACTTCATGGTATCTGTACATTTGTGAGCATGTTGGCGCCAAGCGAAAATCCCAGGCCGAACAAAGGTCGGTTTGGGTATGTCTTCTTCATCCATTTGACCACTTGTCGCACATCCCATGTTGCACGGGCATTGTACAGCACTCCTGTCGTAATCTTGCTCATCGCACAACCCCTCGAGTTCACAACAGCCACATCCCAGCCTCCTGCGCCAAGAAGCGGCGCAATCGTATGTCTGAGGTAAACCTCATGAGACCCTCCGGAGAGTCCGTGCAATACCACAAGCATTGGCTTGGTGTCGTCGGAGCCCAGGTTTTCAAACTCCTCATCGGTGTAGTAGGCTGTCCGGTGAGGAAGCGTCTCGTCTTGCTCATCGTGGGCGTCTACCGCAAAGTCAACGGCAAAGGTGCCTGCGTAAAGCTCATGCTCGGCTTGGAAAATTCTGCGCTTGTAATGGACAGAAGGACCGTGTGGCTTTGTCACCGTCCACATGGTTTGCATGTGGCCATTGAACAGTAGAGGGTTCATGTGACATGGCGGCGTTGTTCTCTCGGAGATCTCGAGGAGATTGACATATTTTCCATCTTTATCATTTATGGTCCTTGGGGATGGCGCGTGGACAAAATCAATCTTAGCTCGTCCAAACCACTCCATGGTGGCTACTGACTCCCGCCAAAGGAGCGCAAACAATCAACTTTGGCCGTGAGTGGTTGGTTAGTCGTCTACTGTCTTACTCCAGAGGCCAGATTGAGAAATTGCTCTAGCAGAGTGAAAGGAATCTGAGAAGAAACGAGAAGGATGCCGGAAGGGTGAGAATCATCGAGGGGTTAAGTCATTAGTTCAACATGTTGTAGCACAGAAGGAATTGCATGTGGGACCAATGAAACCCGTTGTCGCAGTTAATTACAATGACATCTACGGGTACTCAACAACGCAGAACCGAGTTGCAGAGGTCTCGGGATTCGGGGCTGCCGTGCTGCGATACCGACAGCAAGCCAGCAAGTGGGTGGCCCGATAAGGGCCCATTAGCAAGAGTCATGGAGGCAGAGCCCGCGAAGAGAAATGTTGAGCCTCGGCATCTCGAGGGAATGACGACGTATCAGAAAATCTTAATGAAGACGGGCACCAAACAGAACGTTTCAGCTCGCCCATAGGGAGAACGTGCCCTGAGCGTCGGTTGCAAGGGCCTAACAGGGCCTACAGTGGGCCTAACACCGGCACTTATCGATGCTGGGGGGTTGGTTCAGTGCAGGCAGAGCCTAACCCAATGCGCGCTGCAGGGGTGAGGTTGTTCCCGCCAAATGGATGCGGGAGTCGCGCGTCAACTCTTTACGCGTCAAGCTCCATTAATTAACCACCTCCACCAATTTACACGTCCTCTTCCATTTCTACACCACATCCAACTCCCTCCCACAATTGACTTGGGATTTTGTCAACCAATGCAACATACCCTTTTTACTGTTGAGCGTACCTGTTAGATTTCAACCTCTTCTTGTTCTTGTATTTGATTCTTGTTTTATTTCCGCCTTCTAATTCCTCATCCACAATGGGGTCCTCACGCGCCTCGACTCCCGCGTCCGGCCGCGAGTCACCAGAGCCATTGACCCCACGCTCAAAGATCAAAGCCCTCCTCGCAGCTGTGGACAACAGTGACGATGAGGCATCCGGCCCCCAGATTTCGAAAATCCTCCAAGGACCATTCTCAAGACCCAACAATTTGGGCAGCACACAGGAGACCGACGCCACCGACGAAGAGTCTGATGAAGAAATTAGACCCAGGGGCAGACTAGCTGCTCGGATGCATGCTGCAGCCGCTTCTACCGAAGAGCACAAACCAGCTACTGAAACTCGAAATCAGTCAGAACCGAATGTTCAAGAGGACATCGACATGACACAACCCCAGGAAAACGACGAAGATGAAGACGATATTCTACCCGTAGCTCCACGACGGCTTATTCGTCGCGCAGCTCGGGAGGAGGGAGCCGAGACAGAAGATGCTCCTGCTCCGCGTTCCCCCAGCCCCGGCTTATTTGTATCCTCCCCGGCACAACCATCCCCAACCAAGAGCCAGGGCAATGTGTCGGATACCGAGGAATTTCTACCAGCTCTCAAATCCGATCGGTTCAAGGCCCTTGTAGAACGCAAGAAGCAAGAGCGTCGTGCTCGTGAAGCTGCTGAGGAGGAACGCAATGCAGAACGCCGGGCCATGCAAGAGAAGCTTGCCTCAGAACTTGAGCAACTTGACTCCGACCACAGCAACGTTTCAGACATCGAAGATGACGAAGGTGGACTGAAACTGACACAGGGCGCCCGGCCGACGAGGAAAGCAAGCAAAAAGGCTGTGGAGGATATGAATCGTGAGACACAGCGCATGGCCAGAAATATGCAATTGGCCCACGAAGCGAAGACGAGAAAGAAGATTTCCAAATCCAGCCTCTTTGAGCGATTCAACTTCCGACCCGCCGGGGCTCCGGCACCAAAGATAGCGAGCTCAAGCCGTCCGACGACACCCCCAACAGATGCGGAAAAGCAGAACAGCGATACCCCTCCAAGTTCGCCCCCTGTTGGTGAGAAGGAACTAGAGGCTGTTCAAACAACAACAGCCACCAGTGAAATCCCTCCCGCAGTGGAGGAAGAAACCTCAGCATTAGATAAGGGAAAGGGCAAAGAAGTGTTGCCCCCCAAGGTTGAACAACCTTTCGCTCCTCCCAAACGCAATGTTCGCGTTAAGATGCCACCTCAAGCTGTGAACTTGCTTACCTTCGATTCCGATGACGAGCTGGAGATCACTGACCTGAAGCGGGGAAAGGTTGATGCTGTCTTCAACAATGTTCCCAAACAGAGCACTGTGGCATCCCACTCCATGCAGGCTCTGCGTGCTCTTGCTCAGCTCAGATCTCCTGGGAAGGACGTTCGACGAAAGAAGAAGGCCTCAGATATGAGCGTTGGCGAGCTTCAGTTTAACCTTCATCAAAAGGCTCGACAACAGGCCAAGGTGGAACGTGAGAAGCGCATGGAAATGCTCAAGGCTCAGGGCATTGTCGTTCAGACTGCCGAAGAGCGCGAGCGCCAAATGCAAGAAGTCGAGGACATCGTAGCGAAGGCGAGGGAAGAAGCCGAACAGATTATGGCCCAAGAGCGTGAAGAGGCCAAGAAGAACAAGGGCGAAAACGATGACCCATTGGATTGGGATGAGAGTGATGACGAGGAATACCAAGCATCAGCTGACGAAGGGGAAGAGCTTGCCGATGTCGAGCTCTCTGGGTCAGAGGAGGAGAACAGCGAAAGCGATGAGGACGAAGAAATGGAGGCTGCAGGTGAATCACTGGTTGACGGACAGGCAGCTGAAGATGGTGAATCAGGAGATGAAACCATCGAGCAGTCGGATGATGGCATGGAAGACACTACCATGGCGGATGATGACGACGGCTTACCAACGTCAAGCAAACGAAGATCCCGCAAGCAGGTTATGATAGTCTCGGATGATGATGAGGATGATGAGGCGGATCCAGAGGCTACACCCAAACCAAAGGCGACATCGCAAGCCACACCCCGACCAAAATCAATTCCGCAAGCCACTCCTAATACGAAAGGTTCGACCACTCCTGGCTCTGTCCTTCGTTCAGCCAGGAAAAACTTCATCCCTGGTCTCCCCGTCAAGGGCCCTGCTGGCCTGGGTCTTACTCAAATCTTCGCAGGCACCATGGATGACAGCCAAATGTCACCAACCAATGGGCCTACCCAATCCATGATGCCTGACTTTGATAACTTCCCCGACTCCAATTTCTCTGCCACCATGGACGAGCCCGTGGACATGATGGCAGAGACTCAAAATCCTGAGACTCAGGGCGTCCAATTGAACCTTTCACAGTCTCAAATGCGAGGTCTTGACAGTCTCCTACGCGAAGTGCCAGCTACACAATATTCCGAAATGATGGAGCCTTCTCAGGACGGTGGATTCCAAGACCATACGCCCTTGAAGGATCGATTCATCGATGCCCCCCACTCCACAGTTGAAACAGTCGTTGCGAACCCAGATGACATTATGAACGGGTCGCCTCTTATTCGCCGAGGTAGACTACGACGCAAGATGGAGAGTGTGGCCGAAGTTGATGAGGTTCCTCCAACGGCACCCGAGACAGAGGAAGCAGCGCCCAACGCTTTTGGTGCCATGTTGGAGGGTGCAAAGAAGGCCAGGAAGCAAAAGCTCGCCGAGGAATTCAACAAAAAGAAGAGCAAGGCCAAGGAGATGGTGGAGGAGCAGGCCGAGGAATCCGAGGACGAGTACCGCGGCCTGGGTGGTGCTGATGGTGAAGACAGCGACGATGAGTCAGTGGCATCCGTGAAGGAGATGATTGATGACGCGGCTGGCAACGATCTGGACGAGAGCAAGCTTGCGGCCTATTATGCGTAAGGACTAACCCCCTACCTCCCCCGATAAGGACTTGTGACTAACAAAATGTAGTGATCAAGCACGAGCCAGCGATGAAAAGCAGGTCGAGAAGCTTTTCAAGGACATCACGAGTGGTATGCTGCGTCGCAAACGCGGTGCCGACTACGATCTATCCGACTCCGACGATGGCGGCGAGGCTCGCAGAAAGATGAAGCGTCGCCAATTCGCCAAGATGCAGAAGGCTCTGTTCGCTGATGAGCGAGTGAAGAAGATGGCTGAGAATCCGGGTAACCAGGCATTCCTCCGCACCATTGAGGATCACGGCAGCGACGAGGAGATGGATTTCCTCGATGTCACCGAGGAACCCAGGGAGTCTCCCGAATCACAGTCACAAGAAGAGCAAAGCGAGAAGTTCCAGGTTGTGCCTGATAGCCAACCACGATCTATCTTGGGGAGTGCTCCCTCGAACAGACCCCCGGCTCACATGCGCCGAACAAAGGCTGGAAGGAAGCCCACCAATATTGGTGAGGTACGCGAAACCTTGTCCAGTCTACTCGAAGACGGCAGGGAGATGTCAATCATCCCTGCGACAGAGGCTGGCTCGGACAGCGAGAATGAGGACGTGGAACCAACTCCTTCAGCAAGGAGTGACAAGGAGAACCACGCACCGAACCCTCGCCGCCGAGGTGCGGCCGTAGTCGATCGCATCAGCCTCAAGCGCAACTCATCGTCAATGATGAGCGACTCGGGCTCGCGAATGGCTTTTGCGGTGCAGAACTCGTCGTCGTCATTCAAGGTTCCCGCGTTGCTGCGTCGGGCGACTACCAACTCGCTCCAGTCAACCTCTGCGAGCAGCTCTGGTGCCTCGACACCCACTATGGGCGGCAGCAGCGCCAGTGGTTTCGGCAATGAGGCGAAGATCAAGAAGACGGCCAGCAAGAAGAGTGGCATCAATGCCTTTGCCAGGGAAACAGAAAGGCGAGCAAAGATTCAAGAAAACGAACGGAGGAGACAGGAGAAGAAGGTCCGAGGAGCGGAGAACAGACTTGGAGTAGTGGGCGGCCTGCTTGGAAAGAACGCTTTTCAATGATTAATGGTTTTGGTTTGTTTTAACAGGCGTTGTGGGAAGGGAAAGGGAATATCAATGACCGGGAAAGAGTCAGGCGTCAAGGTCTCGAGTTGTTTTTTAGGGTATTACTTTACATTGGGCCAGGATACACATGTAGCGAATCTGACGATATCATTCAATCTACCTATGAGC